CTGTTGTCAGAGTATGAAACACCGTGATCCCAAACAATGTAACCTTAATCAACCAGCGATTTAAATGCCTTAGTTTTTATGATGCATATCACGTCTTGGCCAGTGGACAGTCGCAAATTTCAAGACTATTATAGATTAACATTGTCCCAGTATTGCACCTATCGCAGTAGTAAATCTCTAAAATCTGTACTATTACCCATGATGACCACCTCTCAGAGAAAAGTAATTGCTAGATTGGTAACAATCATGTTGGACCAATCAATGCAAAAGTAGGGAGCTCCAATGCGTACGCTAGAAAATCCCATTCACGTAGATCGGCTTTGAGCAAGAGTCCTTTGGCTTCATGTTAGAAACCTTACCGTTAACATAAGTAGAAAAATCCTTCCCGTCAGCCCTCTCCCCCAGATCCGGTGTGTAACTCGGTTTTACATGAACGCCGTCGTATCACATTAATCATTGAACAGTCAGGTCACATCTGCAGAGATGCCCATTAATATCCACCGGGCTTCAATCACTAATCCATCAGCAATGAGCGTCCACATGATTAGCACAAACGGAAATGCAAGTGAGTGCAGTGATGAGCGTTGAACGCACGTTCGTATGTCCCAACCAGTGCAGAGAGAGCAGAAATCGAAACTAAATCGAATAATTTGGTCAGTGTGACAAACAATACTGACGTGATGTATTCATGATTGATACGAAAAATAGTAGGGAAACCGTTATGCTCTGAAAATGAAGTATCAATTCTATCCAAGACTGCGTCGCACCGAGAGATAGAACGAAGCTCGCTGATCGCCGGCAACCTTACGAAGTGCATACGGTAACCACCTGCTTCGAAGCAGGTGGGGGAAAATAGTTAATCGCTATGGTTTTTCGCACAGAGTACACGGTTTGCGGTGATGCATACACGCACCTCAGGACAGACAGTACGATCTGATAATAAAAGGAAATAAGACCTTCGTTGTGATTGAATCACTCCCGTGCTCTTCAGTGTGTCTGCTCTCGCAGAGACAAATCTCGAATAGACGGTAACGCATGCAGTCAATTTTTGTTCGTGTGTGGAATTGTCGTTATTATCTTTTACGTGTTTCATTGAATAACTAATCCTAGTTAAAAGACTGATAGGTATATCCCTCCCTAATCCGCCTGAGCGATTAACTTACAATTATGAAGAACGAAAGCGTTCCGGGGTTAAATTCACATGTGAACGATTTTAAATCACTCCCTCTCTACGTGTGTCTGTTTGTCTGACGAAGGAAAGCTAAGCCCGGAAACGTGGGTAGCTGTGTGCCTCATTGTGTATCAATCTGTTTTCCACCTCCATTCAGGTGTAAAAGTGATGATTCAAATGGACCTATAGTTTACATGTCCAGATGAAGCCCGATCGAAGATGCACGGTGAATTTTGAGCTGGTTTTTCTCGCGTATGGAGCAGATTTCAGATGAATTGTGATCCAAAGCTCAGTGGGGGATGGAGAAAATAACTAGTCCATTATTACGAATACAATGGTCATATGAGTCGAGCTATACGACAAGGATTGCAACATAAAATGAAAAATAAAAAGAATCCGATTGAGCAGTTCATGCACGCACAGATCGATGCGTATTTACACCTACACGGAGAGAACAAGACGAAACACGTAAAATCAAAGAAAACAGCATACAAGATGAACAAGCGCCACATGCAACTTACCTGGTTTGAAGTAGTATCGGAATTCTTTCGGTAGTGCTTCCTCTAGCATAGCAAAGAACGTCATGTTCTGCGCTTCTACAGATCGTTGACGTCTCTACAAGGTCAGAGTGGAATATATCATTTACATCACGAGTGTGATTAACAAAAGTTGTGTCATCGTTTCAGGTAAAAATGGGTTCGGATCAACGGAGTCGAACGGGCCAAATGAAAAAGACGCATCGGAAGAAAGAAATTATGATAAGCTTTTATTTGTGCTAGGTCACTATACTTGAAATTCTCTTGATCTATCCAAAATACAACAGCGCATGATAAAAGAAAAGGTGAACAGGTCCTCATTCACTGAAAGACAAGACATTTTGTCAATAGAGATGAGTTGGCGAAAAAGCCACTCAGTCGTAAGAGGAATAGATCACACGCGTCAAACTTGTGTTGTGTGCACTCGTTTGTCATCCACTGTTTGGGGCCACAAACAGGACGATTGGTACATCTTGCATTCAGAATGTTGTTTGCAAACCTTTCCCGCTATCAAAATACCTCCGCTATTTGACCAGTTTTCTCTATATACTGCATCTGCTACACACACTGAAAAGGTGAGTTCTCATAAAAGCGATTGGAACTAGAGAAAAATCAACGATTTGCGGAGCTTTCAGCGTGTGCTCACTACTCAAAAGGTGGTGGAGCGTCAAACCGAAGCGAACATCGGATCCGAAGAACATTCATCTGACTTTGTTTAGATGCTAGGTGATGCCTAAACGATAATGTGTTCTATGCGCATTAATATTTCATTTATCATTGTTCCGAAGAGTTCCTAGCACCAACGAAACAGGGAGGGGAAGGGGAAGTGAATAGGACAGTATTTTAGGGTTTGATAAATGATTGATTGGAAAGAGCGATATTGAAACTTTTTCCTGAAAATAGGAATCCCAGTTCCTCTATCCTCTTGTGAGTCTTTGATGGATAAATTAAATCACGTGAGTCAGTCTCACAGGAGGTGGTGGCCCGCTAGAAACGTCACCAAGAATCACCCCGGAGGATGAGTGTTCGAATCCCACCACCACCGCTTGACTTTCGCCATTTGTGTATTGTATGGCAGCCCTTTGACTGGCCGCTTCCCCCTTCCTGAAAATTGTATCCTTGTATATTCAATAAAAGGAAGTAAAAAGAAAAAATAAAGGAATAAGGAGTTTCAACAACGGCAAATGATTCAAAGAAAAGACACTTATTGCCCACTGGGGAGACCCAGTCAAACAAAACATCTGCAAACCGGTGGTGATTGTGCAACGCACAGACTACGATAAAGCTTCCTGGTAGCCAATCAGGAGACAGAGATGGCTACCAACCTTGTGGGCCCACGTGTATAGCCGAATCGGCTGATTGCCGGAAAGCTGACAAACATTCACATAGATACCGATTGAATAATGGAAAATGAGCGTTTGAATGATTGGCAATTGTTATGTTTATTTGCATGTTTTTTTAATAGATTTAACCGCATCAAAAGTTCATCTACCTTTGCGCTACTCAGTAGGTTTTCAATCCGACTCCGCACTACTCGATTACGATTGTTACACCGAGTATTACATAACCACAACTGAGCGACATATATCAGCACCATCAGATCTTCCGCTAGTGAAGAACTACCTGCGAAAAATCGGTTGGATAACCATGAATAGAGCGAATTTCGGATCAAGAAGTAAACGGACCCAGACGTTCAGTAGTAGTGCTTGAGGACGCGGAGTGGTTTTGTTTGGCTGGCACTCTTCACTACATGACACACCGTATAGGTCGACGAACAACAGTATGACATGATGATCGCGGTCGGTGACTAAACAAAGCCACTGCTTCTGTTCTGATTCGTACACCCGGTATGGCTTAACGGGTAAGGGGATGAGATCCACTACAATAAACTATCGCCTTATTTAGAATAACTTGTTGCACACAGAATGCACTTAAAAATTTTTTTCAAAGAAAAAAGGAGTACAGGGTGCCGTGAGTTCACCTACTCCGTTCTCGGTCACTGAACATATAACAGCTCTGAATGGTAACCGAGGGCACCTGTTCGTGCTTTATGCCCCGGAAACTATGGGTAATATCCAACGAGCTGACTCATCTTCCGGCAGGAGACGGCCGGGTAGAACTGGGATGGGAAAAGAAATCGGACCACAAAGGATTGCTAACCACCAAACAGTTCGCCAAGGGGCGATAATGTGAAGCACCCGATGAAAACGTGTAATGGGTTTGATCGAACAGTGAGCGGTTGAGATTAAAGGTTTGAACTATTAAATGTTCGAAGAACTCTCAACCTATCATTTTCAGTTTAGACACCGGGACAGATGACAAGACAAAAATTGATGGTATTTCTTTTTCGTGATAGTTAGTTCTGCTGGCTGCCGATGTAATATTATATCTATACGAATGGTGTGTTTTCTTAGAATTAGATCAAATGTTAAACCCCGCTATTCGGAGATTGACCTCTTCTGATGGTGAATATTATGCGCTACGTGTTTATGAACTCCTATTGATATCCTCCACGTTGTGAATGATTTCTTTTGTGCTAACTTTGAACAAGGTGGTTTGCATTTTCTTATCGCCTTACATTAACGCGTGTATTCGTAACTAAACACCCGAGATCAGAGACGTTTTGTACCTACTGCACAAGGGGTTTAATCCTATATCCTTACCGTCACTTGAAATTCATTTACCCCTCTCGCTTTATTAGTCGATTATATCTAAAGTCACCGCCCAACCACCTGTGCCCTATGTTCCACTTCGGTCTGCGCCGTGGTGCTACGCGAGTGTTCACAAGTTAAGGGCTGCGTCACGCAACGGCGCCTTTTGTGCTCTATAAGTCTTGTATCCACCTTTTTCATTCATTCATTGTCAGTCAGCGGCACCCTTCAGCTCATCAATACTACATCGGTAGCACTGAAAGTATACTCCGTTGAATATTGTGCTCATGCCACTGTTTAGTACCAGCCATAAGCGATAGCCTGTCAACTACCTGCTCACGTTATCACTGTCTGCTGTTCGTTAGTGCATGCTAATAGTGCACAGAAGTCAAAGACACTGATCAAAATGATGGTCGTCAATGGCGCGGGGGGTTGATTAGACGACATAACCCTAAGTATGGATTCTGCAATTCTATTCACTGTAACAAACGAGAAGTTCACAAGGATACAATGATAGTGCACGTTACATAATGTATAGTTTTTTTGCCGGGCGGTGGTCTTTATCAACATCAGAAAAAAAAACATTTGAAAAATGCATTATTTCCGGAGAGAATGAATTGCCTCCAAATTATCTAATTCGTAAACTATTGATAAAAAAGAGAGCTCCTCTTCACCAGAACAGAACACGTATAAGCCCATCTAACCGACTCAAGCTGTACTGAAAATTGCCAGAATACAAATAGGTGCAATCAGATGAGCTGACTTTTGTGAACGATACACTGTGGATCATCATTCATGACGGGCACGCGTCACCATGTCTCGGTCTTCTGTGAAAATCCGGAGGCCACAGCAAAAGATATTTCGATATCTAAGGAGAGATCATTTTGAAGGAGTGTGGTCTAGTTACACGACGACCAGTAAAGATTGTCATCGAAAGGCTTGACCAGAGTGGTAATGCACCGGTCTTGCTGGTGCGGAACAGGAGAAGGTAATACTGTGACGAAACAAGTTTCAGTTACGAACGAGTTGGAAGGATGGGGAATATAAAAGGTACACAAATGAACACAATGCACTAACATAGCAAAGTGTCAATAATTATACTGCGATATAAGGAGCAATTAGATTACATGGTAAATGTGAGATGTTTTTGAAAACAGAACCCTGAATGGTTCGAGGGGAAACGAAGTGGAGTGAATAGCTGAAGCCGCAGCTGGAACAAACGCGTACCTTCCAGGACAACAACACTGAGATTTCGTTTCATCGGTTCACATATTACTCCCTCGTGTTGTTCTGTGCCAACAACAACAGTGTATCACCCAGTTGAGGTGCGACTTTCGATGACAGTTGGGCATTCACAGAATCGTTACTGGTTGTCGTGCAATCGGTCACAGTTGCTTAATACTCATTTCAGTGGACTTCCTATATGGGTGAGCCACATTCCCGTTTCAGAGATAGTGAAGCTATATAAAGTGATAATTGCAATAATACTGCGAAATATTCTTCGCTGTAGCCTTCGGTTTTCACTAGGTAGACAGGGACATGCGTTCAGTGTGAATAAAGATCATTTGAATGCATCTCTCTGTGTTTTGGCAACTGGGAGCACAGGTCGAGGTGGTTAGGTGGACTTGTATGTGCGCTGTTCGGGCAAAATGAGTTTTTATCTATTTTTTGCAAACAGCGTATGCAAATCCGGTAATATTTATCTATAGGGCATACTTCCGACTCACCAGACGTAAATGATGCGCAACCATTGTTTTCAATCCAAATCCTAACGTGACAGCCGGATAACCGATACTGGAGAGAGAGAGAAAAACAGGAAACCGATCCGGAGAGGAGTTGTGCATCATCGTAAATCACAAAAATAGCTAACATTTTAGCATATCACGTGAAACAAAGAAGAAAACAGAACCAAACTGAATGACAATGCGGTTGTTTGTTTGTGATATTAGTACACATGGTTATGCATCCACAAATCCAGTGTCAGAAAGGAGACACACTGGAGCAACTCGAATAGCAAAGAACAAACAGGTGAGTAGATCACCTACACCCGTTTCTCATGAGAAACGCCTACAGAGTGACGGTTCTTCGAGGGTCAATCATCGAACTTGCTTCAGTGCTGGGCTTAGATCTTGCAATGCATCACGATGCACACCCAGATGAGGCTGCACAGAATACGTATCATTGGTGTTCCGAATGAGTTGTTAGGGAACAACAATGACAAAAACCATTCAACCCAGTGCATTATTGTTCCAGTTGTTGGATGTTTTCTTCCCGGTGGCAAACGGGAGCTCCATCTCCAGACAGCCTTTGATAGGTTACAGCCCCCTTCCGGGAAAATGGACTGTGGCTGCTGATTGGATAAAAAAAATTATCACAGAACTGGTATAAAGCCAACCTAATGACAAAAACACTGCTTACAACACACAGTTATGTCAAACAACAGGTTGATTCCGAGAATGAGTCTATATGGGAGCCATTTGACTGGCCACTTCCCTGTACTTGAAAATTGTATCTTCGTATATTCAATAAATAGAAGTGAATATGAAAAAGAAAAAAGGATGAATAAACTCATCTTTGATCCCAGATCTGATAAACAAAGAAACTAGTGCCATATTCCTGACAAAGTAAGCTTCATTCAAAATTCTAACCTTTTGTATTATCACAATAATTTTTATTTCTTTCGATGAGATCAACAAGAATAAAAGTGTCGGAGAAAATCTCAAAAGGCAAAATGTAGTTCTCAACACGCCGAGATAGGCAATAAAATTGTAAACACAAGGGCAAAGCCGTATGAGTTCGTGTAAGTTTTAGTTTGCACAACAATTTCTAACCCTGCACTGTCACGCACGCCTTTTTGGTTGAAGTCTTTCGAGTATCAACTGGGTCACCAAACGAGGTAGTTGTTGGAAGAAGTGAGAAATCCAGGCGTGGAACCTGGGTAAGGATTCAAAAACCACTGTGAATAACACTCAGTTTTATCACTGCCTTCCATTCAAGACGAACAAATCTGTGGACCATACAGTTAAATCACGAGGCAGCTGCGGTGTCATCCATCATCATTGCATAAATGGACGTCAAAGAGTCACTATAGGCAAATGGTAAATGAACCTTCTGTTTGCGTCCTGGAACTCCCCTCATTTAAAGTTTGTCCATCAACCGACAAACTGACACGGATCTTGACCTGAATTTAGTTTCGCGATCGACCTTGAGTCGTCAGCAGACCAATACCTATGACAGACAAAGTAGTATACATTGAACTGGTTGATTTCACGGACCCTTTTTAAACCTAACTCTCGGGATACATACATACGTCTGTCTTATCTGCAACGCGTTTGTTCGACGTAAAACACAGTCACTTTTCTGCGATAATTATCCCGCATCTCAGCTGACTGTTACTGTGAACCACTTGGAGACAGGAGTAACAGTTCGAAAGCCTCAGTATGGTCGGGGGTGGGTGCCTGCGGTTATTCCTAGTCACCCTCCCCATGCATTTCGCGAAATGCTTCTATACGACACAGCGTCTCAAACAGCGTTTGAGTAACCCCTACTCACTGCATTCTCGTGGTGGAGGTATTTTTCCACTAAAGTGAGAAGACAAAAAGCCAATATCCGGATCTGGTAGTTCACCTGCGGGAGTTGGCTAAAATCCCTGATTACAAACCAACCAAAAAGAGACGTACAAACCACATCCACACACACACACACACACCGTCGCTGTGGTAGTGGTCACCAACTCGACTGGGCACCTTGGATGTTTGACCCCGTCCAAAGGACGGATGATTCGGTGAATTGGACACCGGACCCCAATGGATTGCGGTTTTCATACACCGCTGCCTTACTGGTCAAGCCTGGATCCGGTTGTGAATTCCCCTAAAAAGTTCACCTGCCTTGACCTGGGCAACCTGAAAGCATTGCGTTTACGAGTAAATCGTGAAACTTCTTTTCATAAAGATCATTGAACTGTGATTTATTTGGTACATAGTCTGGACTCAGGTGTGTGTGAAATATAAAAATATCCTAACAGAAGTTCAAATATAACGAAAATAGAAAATCATTTAGTAAAACACTCAACTATAAAATCGCTGTAAACTATTGTAATACTAGACACTTTGAGCACCAGTTGAGCATATGTGTTGGGCCGCGTTTACCAGTTGGTTCGATACCCCCAAAGAGGGTTTCGTTTGCGGCATTCGGACAGCGCCATTGGCACCAGAAACTCGGTTCGTGTTAACCGAACTAGACCTCTTTTTATGTGTTAAGAATTGCGGGCAACGGTGGGTTAGGTCCTGCATGTTACACTTACGTCCACTGACCAAACATGGTAAGAGTCTGTTACCGGAACCAGAAGTGGTGTTACTAAACACGGCACGAGTTGAACTTTCACATTTATTGGGTTCGAGTGAACCCAGCTCTATTGTGCATAGGCATTCACAGCGATATTTTCTCTGTTCTATGAATGCACAAATACATCCGTGCGCTGTCTGTCATCTTTCCGATATCCGGAGGATGAAACAGCCCTGAGGAAACGGTTTGGCAAAAATGTCTCAATCACGAGGGAGCAATAAACAATGCACATGAAACCCATCAGTGCCACCTCTTCGACTTCGATACAAACACAAACCCAGAGATGCATGTGGTCATGGACTGTTGAACAACAGTGATATTTTTGGAATGCAACACAAACACAGGGAAAGAGAGAGAATCACCAACAGTTCAAGAGATCAGACCAGAGACTTTGAGAAAGAGATTCTTTCACACAATCAATTGTAAGAAGTAGCATGGATCACAAGGGTCTCGATCATGTTTTCCAAAATCATAGTTCATCGAGCGAAGCAAACTTACCAGTGTGCGGCAAACGGCCGACAAAGATCGATGCTCAACGGCAGGGTCTTCGGATCACGCAGTCGGACCGCGACTTCCACGTAGACAAACAGGAAGCAGAACACCATTGTCGGTCCATACACACCACGATCTGGATGGGAAAGGATGGGAACAATGGGGGGGAACGGGATACAACTGTTACACAACTACTGATTTGATAACACTAAACGTAGACAGAAACATTAGTGAAAAAAATGAAAGATAAATGTTTAAACTACCTGAGATACAGATGAAAAACAACAATCTAATGAACTTGGGACACTCATCAAAAGCGCATTCAACGATACGGATAGAATCATATCCTGTAGCATTTTCAACCCACGAGGCTGTGGGAAAGTAAAATATTCCCCACCAGAGCGGGAAAATCGAAACTGCTTTGGTTTATTTGAAATGGTGTAGACAACAGAATTCATGTGAAAGTAAAAACAAAAGAGGAAAAGCAACCGGAATATATTTCTCAGCAATTCAGATGCATTTCTTCAAACAAACAAAAAATGATGGCTAGCAGGTGGGAAGGATAAACAATTTATTGTGACAGATGCATCGCTCATTTTCTTTAGTTTTGGTCAACTCTGGTGGACGACCAGATAGTGGTCATGCGAGTAACAACTAAAACCTGTCTAGGAGAGGTAGATACCTGAAGTGGATAGTCTATTATACTTCAACCTTAATCGAACAAGCAAATGTCAAACATCGATGGTAGGCGGCTCTGTCGCAACCGAGCTCACTACAATGCCTGGTCTATTGAAACCATGTGTGGTCTACCACTCCGAGTCTCAAATTTATGGCTTCCAGTTTCCTTTTCATAACATAAACAGGACAACAAGAAGCCCCATACGCTCTCGCTCGCTCCACGCATTCGTAATGAAAATACGCACTCAGCATCCTTACCAGCATTCGTGGACTGAACCGCGACACCGATTCTCTACACCATTCATTCTTCCCCTCCTCTCGTCCTTTTGTGAACCGAAACAAAAATCTTCCCATTTTTAAGCACCCAACTACACTTTCCATTTCACCTTTCTAACCAAAGTAACTTCTACCCTTCTTTCTGTAATTCTTCTCGTGATCTTGTATGTTAACCACACGGGAAAGCTGAGGGTTTTGGCTTCCCAGTTTGCCGCCAACTCCACCTTACGTAATTATCTTAATCCTCCATATTCATCCCATCTCACTGGAAGCCCTTTTTCACCTCATATTAACACAAAGAAAATCCGCCAAACATTGGTCTCTCTCTAAATGCAAACAAACCACCCTCACTTCTTTCTGTCGAAAGTATTTGAAACCATCATCTCTGACCAACTACGCACGTTCCTCGAACGCGAAAGACCACTAAGAGATCGCCAGTATGGCTTTCGACAGCGTCGTTCCGCCGGTGATTTGCTGGCTTTTATCTTACAACTCTAATCGGCTGCACTCGATAACCACACACTTGGTCTCGCTGGATACCTCAAAATACCTTCGACCGAGGTTAGCACAAAGGTCTGCCGGGGAAACTGTCTGTGTTTGGGTTCCCTCCAGCTCTAATAGTGTATGTATCAAGTTTCCTCAGGAGGCGAACCATGCCGATTCGAATTGATGGGGCCCTATTTTAGCCGTTCCCCAAGGACCAGCACTTGCGCCCACCCTCCTTCGATTTTTCAATGATGTTCTTTCTAAAACTGTCGACTTAATCGATTCTGTTGTCGATGCCACCACCCTTTATTGCTCCCAATCCTACCGCACTACTCGTCATGCCCGAACCAAAATCGATCGTGAACGTAGGGCAGTTAATGAGTCATTGAACTCTCACCTTAAACACATCTGGGACAATTTCGACCATGCTAATTACATTCTGAAACTTCTCTTCTTTCAATTTCTCTAAAACACCATTCATTCACACACCCCTCCACTCATCTTTTAATTCCACCAAATTGCGTTTCACAGACTCTGTCCCCCTTCTTGGATTGTCTATAAACTTTTCTTTTATAACTCAACTTGCCTCTCATGCCGCGCACAAGGTTGTTTTTTATTCCACNGTCATATGTGGGGTGAGGCTTGGGCTTCTCTTTCCCGTCTTGATAGTGTTCGACGAAGGGCCAGCGGGTTGATCGGTGATCCTTTCCAGATATCCAATCTGCAGTTACTGGTCTATCGTCGGGGAAATTCCTTCATTGACCCTAGTCTACCGTTACCAATTAAGTTTTTGTTTTTTGGAGTTTGCCTCGACAGTTCTTCTTCTTGTAACTTTTGCACGCCCATCCCGTACACATGCATCTGATCACCCTTATCAAATTTCGATTGCAATCTCTTTTCTCCCGAAATGCCCGAACACCCTCCACACTATCTATCATTCCCCCAAGTTACAACCTTAAACTCTTTAGACGCAGAATCAATAAATTGGATCTTACGTGAATGCACCGCTACTCTCCCTTTTACGGTATGCATTTTTTCTGCGGGGATTCCCTCTTTTACTATAATTCACATTAGGTGTAACCAAAAAATACACATCTTCCTTGCCAAACACACTCCACAGTCCCCACAAAAGAGCTATTAAGCGGAGCAGGTTGACGGGTTTACCAATCAGACGGAGTCTAAACCAGAGTGAATCAAATGTAACGAAGCAAGACAACAAGGTCAAGAAATGTTGGACCGAATACGAGCTGGTCGTAGGCGAGTCACGAATTCGGTGCGCGAAGAAACGTAAACCTTAGTGCGATTTACAAGAATGACTCTAAACAGCCGGTGTCATGTAATAAGTGATACCACGCATACTCACGTGCATACAGGCCCAACGGATACCGGGTCCGTTCTCAACCCAGCAGATTAACTCGAACAAAACCAAGCCCCAGTGTAACTGACTGACAACCTGGCAGTGAGCTTGGGGCGATTTGGTGACCCATATTTCCTCGAATGGATGATCAATTCAAACGTGGATCGCACAAAAGCTGAACGTCTCCCATACACAACCCGGACAACTGGCAAAGAAACTTAATAGCCACGTGACGAAGTCTGCTTGCGTGTCCCCTACGGATTCCCGTCTAAGTGTGACTAACAGCACAGCTACAAATCCAGGGGCTGTTTCGGGTCTTGTCATCGCGATAAGGTATGACTACGGCAGCACACAACGGTTTCCCAGTGAAAGGAACTTTGAATAGGGACCCAGTGATCCGGAAGCCAGTATTGCTTTACCAAGATATGAATTTACCTACCGGTATCATGATACGCTTAAAACTGCGTGAGCCACGATGACCACTTTTAACTAGTACTGCAATCGTTCACTAACAAGCCTAAGTAGGATATTTCTACTTGTTAGATTAGTAATAAAAAGAAAATACAATCGAAAATGTAAGGTAGTACCGCGACAAAAACTGTACGGGCCGATTTTAATTCAGGTGAAGCAAGTCAACATGACGAAGAGCGGACACTTTTATCGTTGCAGCCTAGACACACCTTTTGGACATTTCCGAGTGGGATCCTGGACGCCTGAGTAGACCAACCCTAGAGTTAACTCATAAGAAAACGGTTTGCTGCAAGGAGAGTGCACAATTTTGGATTTTATCATGCCTGTTTGGAAGAGACCATCGATATTCTACGAGGCAGAATCGAAGTGTTTTGTCAAATGGGGTGCGCGATATGCACGAGATAACCAAACGATGTAATCGATCAAAGAGTACTGTGTTTCGATATACTAGGCGATTGATCGCAGACCAAGGAAAAAAGAATGGGAATTGGTCACTCTCCGAGAATCCATGAGAGAGAGATAAGTGTAGACTGGTGCGTTTGGTCTCTCATTCCAGGAGTCACGACTCAGAAATGAAAGCTCTCAATGGGCTATAAAATTTTTCAGATCGAACAATATAATGACCTTATTGTTGAATAGACGAACCCTGAGTGGGTCACGGAGTAGGACTCGCGAGCCGGCAGACTTTTGAGTTCCCGAGGGCATATTCCGTCAATGTGATCTCTACCCGACTTCACTCATGAATTCAAGAAGCTAAGGCAAACATCACATTCCGATAAAAACGCCTGAGCCGGATTAAACCAGGTTGAGAGTAGCCAAAGCAAGACGGTGTAGTTTTGAGTGGGCGAACGAGGTCGACTGTTTGATCCAATGGTTAAATGGGAGAGATGTCCGAGAAACAGAGAAACGTGGATGCCTGAGCTGCCAAAATAAATATACCGAATGGTGAATGACCACATAGGATGCAAACCAGAAATCAAGCAATAACACGTTGCGGAATTGCAATATGTTCATGGTTTTGCAAGTGGAACCCTAAATAAAGTCGGATAACTCAAAACTTTATCAAGCCGGGTTAAACTCTCCCAGGAAGAACCGGTGGTAAATTGAGCAAGTAATAGACCAAAACAGAAAAAAGAAACGAGTAAAATCAGGTTTCACGTACCGGATTGCCAGACTAACTGTACCCAAACAAATGAGCTACCAAGTAGGTAGATTAAGGTTGTGGGTACAAGAAAATAGCAAATCAGATCGGACGTCAGT